CCGCCCCGCCGCCGGAAGGCCGCATCGTTCATACGGACCAATGGGGAGGGAGGGGCGGGGCATCTCCCCTGAGGAGCTGGGCGGGGCAGAGGGGAGGTGCCATGTCGCCACAGCACCTGCCGGCGGGCCCTTGCTGCCCCTCCCGGGGCGGGAACGGCGCTTTCCACACAGTGGCCGCGCTCGGGTTACGGGCCTGTAAGCGGAGACGGCAGCAGCCCCCGCCGCACACCTGGCGGCCCCCGCACCGCACACCCCCCCCCACACCCGTCTTGATTAACTCCAGGGGCTCCCAAACCCGCCCCGGCGCAGCCCAGTGCCGCGGGGGGAAGTGTCAATACAAGCAGCACACCTCCATGTCCCACACAGACGGAAAAAGCCCGGCCGCGCCGCCACAGTGTCTCCTGTAGGAAACGAGGGCTGTAAGTTCACCTCTTTCTGCTCATAACGTATTTTCTAACGGCGCCGCGAGCCAACAACGCTTCAGTATCCTATTCACCGCATCGGGGGAAGCGGGGTGAGACAAACTGAAGAGAGTGTGTGATTCTTCCCTGGTGCAGAGGATGAAAAAACACTTCTAGTGTGAGGAAGTGCACTTTATTCCTTTTTTTTTTTTTTTTTTTTTTCCAAACCGAGGTTGAATTCTTCTACCACTATTTAGTGGGTTGGTTTTTTTCCTATAATACTACAGAGGGATTAGGAAGCAAGGAAAGGCACCTGGCACTAAACTCAATGCTTTTCTTTATGCTTTTGGCATTTGTGTCTCTCTCTTTTGTCCCGTAGTTAATCCAGACTTACACTAGTGTAAATAACATCAGGGGGATGGGTCTGAAAAACCAAAAGTAGATCTTATTCTCAAATGTATTTAAATATAAAATAATTATTACTCATACATTACAGATTTGGGTCCATGCAACAGTAAAAGCTCTATCCCAAACTGAAACTGGAGAAGCAATGGCACTCGTGTTCTACATTAACTGGGCACAGTATGAGAAAGTGCAAACTATCAGACTGGATGAAAACCCAAATAAATAGTTCAGTTTCAGATGAATTAGGCTGTATCACAGATGCAACTGATGAGGAACAAGATGACTTACCTTATGATGGAGAGGTAGGCATAACCTGTAAATACAGTAATTCAGGTAATTTGAATGACTGTCCTTGTACAAAAGTTATTTCTGGTATTTTAAATGTAGCCTGTTCTGAAGATAACAAAAACATAAAAGCAACAGCTAATTATGAAACACATCCACAACCTGAGAAATTCTCCAGCTACCACAGAACTGTCATAGGAACAAGAGGAATTTCAGTTGAAATGTCTGAAAGTGAAGCTTCCTTTAGAAAGGAATTACCTATTGGTGGTTTTAGTAAACCAGACAGCAAAGAACATCTAACTCACTCAAAAATGTCCGATATCCTTTTGCGTCATTTTTCTAATGAAGAGTTAATAAGCACATGCCAGCTAATTGAATGCGAGACAATACCAGAGATATCCTTTACTGAAAGTATCAGTGACACTGTGAACAAACCTGAGCCTTCAGAACACCTCAAAGGCCCTTCAGCGCACAAACAATGGGCAACTAACTTTGAAGAATATAATTTAGAAAACCACAAGGAAGTAAACACTGGTGATAAAAATCAAAATTCACTAAATGAAAATAGATGTGTTTCAAAGAAACCTATTTCTTCTACTGGAAAGTGTGGGTACAGACAACTGATTAATGAAAATAAAGATACACACCTCTTTCAAAACATGAAAGAAGACAGAGACCTGTTTAAGAAAACAGTTTCACATCACAATCTCAAATACAGCAAAGATCAAGCTCCCTGTTGCCTTCCTGACTTCTTCAAAGTTGCTTCAGAAGTTAAAGTACCAGAAAGAAGTGACAACATAAAATCAGTTCCTACAACTGGAAGAACAAAATCCTTCCCTATTTTAAGTAAATCAGTAATTGGGAACAACATTCAAGAAAATAGGAAGTATTTCAATTCTGCTGAAGTAGAAAATCAAGAAGAAATGAGCATTCCAGAACTATTGCAACAGCCAGAGGTAATTAAGATGCTTTAACAAATTCATAACACTTGAGTGATGTTTAATATACAAAGATACTCTAACTCCAGTAAAATCTAACATGACTAGTTCATGCAGGCAGTCCATAGTAATCAACAATTGCTTTCATAAGTAACATTTTGTGGGACTGAATTTGTATGGAACTTTCATTACCAAATACTTAATGATGCTCTGGAGTATAATTTGCAATTATAAGGCATCCTATCAAATAATTAGGAAATTCACTATAAATTGTTATTTCTAGCATTATATGTAAATGTTCAAATTCACCAAAAGTACTAAACTGAAAGTTTTTCTTAGAAATATATTTTCATACTGTGCTTGTCTTTATTGTAAAGACATCTTTGCCTTTTTTCAAATCTTAACACTCTTCAACTGTTTATACTGCTATTTATTGGCAAGTCAATTCCTTTTAAAGGGTTTGTTTGACAACAATATTTCTCTTATTGTGGTAAATTTCTTCTAAAGTTTGTTAGTAATTAGGTAATTACTTTTCTATTTCATGCCCTGCCATGGAGTTCATTCAGAGCGCCATGCAGATGCTTAAGTCTATTCCCAGATTTATATCTTAGTAAATTGTTTGAGATCTAACATGTTTTAATACTTCTCCCTATTATTTCCTTGGCTGCAAATGAGATGCAGACACAGCATGCTGACACCCAGAATCATATTGGCCAGCTGAGACCGAATCCTAAGGTAAATATCTCAAAACAGATGATGTGTTTTTTTTTTTTTTTCCTTAATTCATTCTCCTTTATCCCTGGGACCATGAATATTCCCCAAAACTATTTTGTTACGTTCACATTGTACTTCCTATTTATATAAATCCTCTATTAGATTTTCCCAACATAGAGTTGCAGTATTTGTTTATACAATGAGACACTATGCGTAAACTATAAAGACATAAAATGATATGGTCTTGTTATAATAAATGTTTTATTAATATTAACAACTTGTCCTCTGTATTTTGAGTTATTTCTGAATTTTGTGTTTATTTCCACCAGTGTTCTAGACATTGTTTCTATAACCAAAGTTCTCATTTTAACAGATACTTCCTCAGTCAGATTTTCCAAATGCCACCATTGACATTTACTCTGGAGACACTGGGATATCTTCTGAAGTCTTTACATTACAGGCTCCTATCCCTATACAATCTACATGTGGTTTGTCTAAAGCAAGTAAATAAGATTACAGTAACTTTGTAACTTAGTTATGTAATTTGATAGCACTTCTGAGCAGAAATTCCAATTGATTGATCGTATTTTGTATTATGTAGGATTACAGTATGGAACAACAGAATCAGCATTACCAGCAGCCGGTACAGTAGAAGCACATTGTCTAAATCCTTCTAATTTACTGCCAGAACTAACACTAGGAGAAAAGATGTCTCAAATACTAAAGGATCAGACGGATCAACTGATAAAGAAAGTAAAGAGTTCCATTTCAATATATACTTTGCACTGATGCTCAAGTTCTATACTCATATAGTATATTCATTTTAAAATATCAAATAAAAAAATCTAATCTTTTGTCTTGAAGGTAGAAGACTTCTCTAAGCATACAACCCAAGAGACGTTACTTTTACAAGACAACTATCTGGTAAATTAATTTATGTATTTTCGGTTATCTGAAACGCACTTTAAATAGCTGTAGATGCACTACATCTTTTCTGCCAAGATACTCCCTGTTTGCCTCAAACAGATATCTAAAAATACTCTTTTTTTCCCCTCAATCTCAGACTGAAATTATGACTTTAAGAGGCAAAAATGAAGGTGTTCAGTAGGTGGCTGAATTGTTAAATCTGTTTTAAGAACTACAACTCAAAACTATTAGTGAAAGGCCTTAAGTTGCCATATACATTATGAATTTTGACATGTAAGTTCTCAGTTCAGAAGTCATAGTTTAATATTTTACTTTTACATAGTAGAGCAGCACATTATTAGGTGGACTTACAAGACACATTCCTGTTCCAATTCAGAACAGCAGCAAAATTTTACCAACATCACTGCAAATAGCATATGGCTTACACAGCATAAGTAGCTATCACCATGGCTTGGTAAATTACAATGACATTTGCTATTCAATTATGTCTTACTGCTGAAGGCATTAAATCAATTGAAAAGATACCTTGATGCTTTGGAAAGGAATTATTTAACAGCTAGAGAAAAGCACCGTAATTTACAGCTGCAGAACTACAAGGACAAGTCGATCAACGTTGGAGAGTTTGACCCCGAAAGGTTAGATCAGTGCTAAGTAGTACATCAGTATATTTTCCATATTCTGAGTGTCTTATAACCATTACTTCATTTACCTGTTAGAATTTTTCTGAAGTGAAAACATTATCTTAACGTTACGTGTGGTAAGCTAGAAGTGATTTGGTCAAAATTCATCTTGGGCTTTACATATCATAATTATAATTAGGATATCCAATTGATTTATTCAAGTTCTTAAAAGGGACTCGGTGAACCCCATTAATTTCCCATGGGAAGCATACTGCAGTGCCCAGTATGGTTATCATAATAAGAAATAAAATATTGGTTTATTCAGGTTTCACTAACTCTGTATTGCAATTGGGTTTAGAAAGGTGGAAGGGGAAATATTTAGGCTTGGCACGCTGCTTGAAGACATCCAAGAACAAACTGATGACAGCAAATGCAACTTGTCGTCTCTGCTCACTTCCTATGAATCTGCCCATTCATCCTATTCTCTCTGTGAGGTAACTCAGGGAATTTTACTATTTAAAGACTACATTATTCTTTTTTATTGATGCAAGTTTCAAGAACCTTGGTGGTGGTGTACTATTGTATGTTTTCCTCTAATAAGAGCATGACACTTTTAGATAGCATGTTACTTGAAAGAAAATGGTTTGGGTTTTTTTGCATTTTTTTACCTATGAAATATTAACTTCATAGTATTTCAATAGTTATAACAGAAACCTAAGTATAAAAGCACAGCTACACTGAATATTCTCAGTCCCAGCTTCAAAAGCATTTATTTCAGAATAAGAAAATAAGAGCAGCTACTTTGACTTTTCCAAAGCCGTCTTTGTTTTGGGGAGTTAATCACTATTGTTTAGTTGGAAGAAATATTACTTGGTTTGCCCAAGGTTCTTAAAATGTAGAATTACTAGAAGACCAAACATTACTATGCTATAGAAAATTGAATTTACTGCTGAGTACAATCATACTTTGTCCTGGATCATAAATGCACCAAAGGAAAAAAAAAAAAAAAAAAAACCAAAACTTAGGGCCTTCTACACCTTCTACAAATCTACAGATAAGTACCACCAAATAATTTCATAATCCATATTTAAGAAAACATGTTTCTCTGAATCCCAAGTTAGAAATACTCAGAAAATGCTGGTTGGTAGAAGTCATGTCCTTGCAATGCAACAATCACATACTACAAGTATCTATCCTGTGCTTACTTTTGTACAGAGCTCAGTCGTTTCAAGCATTGCTGATCCTCCAGAACGAGGTATTGAAACTGCATTTCTTCACAAGAACAACAAGGAAGAAAAAAATCAGACAACTGATGTAATCCCACAGACAAATCAATCTTCTTTAGAAGGCAACAAGTGCAATCTTTGTCTTCACATGTAAGTGAAAACTATTGACATCTTTATAAAAAATATTACCTAAAATTACTTGCTGACTACAAAAAAATTGGGATGTCTGGAATCTCTGAAAGCAACGTGAATATTTCCAGAATGAAACTTTTACAGAATTAAACATACCCAAGAATCCTTCCAGCCTGGTATTCTTACCTTCCTGGGTCTTATGGACCTCAAAGTACTTCCTGTAACTACATACCTAAGAATTCCTTCCAGCCTGGTATTCTTACCTTTCTGGGTCTTATGGACCTCAAAGTACTTCCTGAAGCCCAAAACACTGCCATCAGTTTCACTAGGAATTAAACCATACTTCGCTATAAAATTTATAGCAACCACACAAATTCGAGATATAGATGACTAGTCAAAGTACACTGCCAGTACAAAAAATATTTGCCAATATTTGTATGGAATTTTTAATTAAAGAAAAGGGAGGCATCCAGACGTTTATATTTAGACATCAAAACTTTGTGAAATAATTCTAGATACCATCCCTGCCCTCCTGGGGAGTATTTATTAAATGTAAAATCATCTCAATGAGATTAAAAAATAAAATAAATGGCTTCTCCTTAACCAATTAAGGTTACAGAAGAGAGCTGAATCAAGTTCCAGACGAGAAATGGAATGTGTAGGAAAAGGAGGTCTGCTAGCAAACAAGCATTCTTCCAACCTAATGGTATGAGATCTGTTTCCATGCTCACTTTTTTCTTTTTAATTTAGATTATCTTATTCATATTTGAGATCACACAACATTTTTCTCTTCAGTCTTTGCACAGCATAATGGCTCTGCTTTTGAGATACTACAGCATATCTTAGCATTGCTGAATTGGTTTCCAAAGAAGAAATTCCTCAAGGAAAGACTCTCAAACATTTTATGAAACTAGTGATGAAGCTGGCTTCTCTCAGGGAAGACTTAACTATGTTTACTAGCCTGCCAAAATGCAAAAACCTACAAACAATTGCTTGCCTACAAAAATATTTAATTTTAAGGCATTGAGAGAAAATAATTAATCTATGCTAATCCTTCTCAAAGTAACATGAAAACCTATCTTGAATTCCAACTTCACAGACAAAAAATTGTTCATATTTTGTCCAGTCTGCTCCACAATAAGAATTGTAAATAGATCAATCAAATTGCAGAGTTGATGGCAACCAAAAGCAATATAGAAGTGACGTAGAAATGATGCCACTGTATCATGTTTGTTTATATTACTATGTACATATCAATCATAATAATTTTGTTTTGCCTTCTGGTTGCAACAGAGATTCCCTTCACCTGAGGAAAAATACGCTGCTGAAGGTCTTATATCCCATCGTCAGGGCACATTAACTCAAAAAATTAATGCTGATGAAGAAAGTATGAAAGGGTAACTGTATTGCGTATTTTGGCTAGTCATAGATGTGGTGTTCTACAGCTAAGTGAAGAGATACATGCATGTACACTGATACGTCTCTATACTGGACTCTGCATGAAACACTGAATAACATCTTTAATACATATAAAATGAAAGGGTGATCTGATTTCAGGTTTATCACCAGTTTCAAATTTAATCACACAAGTTATGCGACTTGCCAGACCGCCAGAGAAATGACAAAACTCCCATCAATTTTATTAGAGAGAGAATTATTTCATATTACAAAGTAGGCCATCTCAAGGGACCAGTACAGGGTTTATGGTGCTTACATGGCAGAGAATTTTCATATCGTGATAAGAGAAGAGGCTTTGTCTTTGTTCACTATTCAGCAATACAAGTCAGCATTCCAAATTGGGATGCAAAGTCTTCAGTAATAAGAAATATTTAAAATTATCACTGTCATCAACTAATCTGGTAGGCCTGCAAGGAGACCATATTGACTTACCTGCATGTATTTCAAGTATAGTGGTCAAAGTGTACAGTTTCATTTACAGAGATGTCAGTGTGATAAAAGAATTCCACATGGGTTATTTTGGAGTTTGAAATTTTGGCAAATTAAATCTCTGTCCAAAGCTAGATCATGTAATACATGCAGTGTAGAACACAGTAATATTCACCTAAATATGCTCTCAGATTATATTACAGAGTAGATGTTAATATTTACCTAGTAAAACTCCCCTAGCTACCTTTTTTTTCCCCCCTCTGTCCTTTAAGGGAAGTTAGCTCAATCTTCTGATCATTGTTTTCATGAATGGGTGGAAAATTTTCCAAATAAATCTGTTGATACTGTATGCCTTAAGCCGAAAAGACATATGTCAAATAAGGCAAACAAAGAACTTTGTTCTCGTTCTGCCAGAAGGTACATCTCAAATATTCTTCTAATTATCCAAAGGCAGTAAAATTAAAACCTAAATAACTCAAAGTTACTAAGAAACCATATCATCCTTACTATTGATAATATTTTGATGGAACATATGTGAATGGATACATAAATACATATGATTTCATACTACTTAGCTATCTAAAGATGTGATTTGCAAGACCTCTACTTTTAAGCATGTTTAACAGCTCTGGTAAATCAGAGTCCTTTTGTCAGAGCGTGTCCTTTAACTAAAGGAGTCATTATTTCACATTGGGTTAAATTTTAATTTAAGCTTCTACTTACCATCTTTTCAGATAATTGATACAGGTTCTTTCTATGAGTACATCTGCTTTTTCCTCAAATAAGAAATGCTTACACAGTAATATAATATGCTCATAAGGCTTGTCATAAAAGTATTGAGATACAATTAAGATATCTTTCTGTTTTCATGCTCAAAGAAACACAAACATCCAGGAAAGGAAAATTGGAACATGTTCATTCTGCATTCAGAGAAAACCAACTGATTTATCAGATACCAACTTGAGTAAGTAGTGATGGCATACGAAGGTCAGAACTGAGCTTACACTTACTATTGTATCCTGTTAAGAAATAACATTCCTTTTGCATCTCAGCAGCATGAAAATTGTTTTGTAGTTTTAATAGATGTTACTGCTTAGCACAAGACACTAAGAATGAAAAGGGGACTAAAGATGACACCAAGTCAAATTCACTTTGGAAGTCTCAGTGACAGACCAAGAGGCAACAGACAAGCTGCAACAGAATTTCCAGTTAGATATGAGCAAGAGAGTTTTAACTCTGAGTCTCGTCAAACACTGAAACAGTTTTCCCAAAAGAGGCTATAGCATCTCCATCCTCAGAGGTATTAAAAACTTAGGACAGGGACATAAGCAACTTCATTTAAGTTCTTCCTGCTTTGAGAGGGGATTGGGCCAGATGACCTCCAGAAGCCCTATCCAACCTGAATTACTCTCTAATTCTAATTCACCTTTTTACATAAGTTTCCAAATACTACTACTACTAACATTTTCAAAAGCATAAGAGTGCTGTGCGCACAGTGCCTTGATTTTGCTATTTCTGCTAACCATGTGCATTTATTTTATGTCCTAGAAGGAGATTCCAAATTTGGTGATTGAAACATCTCATATCATTAATTCCACTTTTATTTCTTGATTCGACTTTCTTATTCTGTATGAAAACAAAGGAAAAAACGTTTTCCTACATCTTTTACCTGTTCAAGGTTGGCACAGACTGGAAATATTCTCCTTCTTTAGTCCAGCCCCTAATTATATAATTTCACCAGATCCACACCAGAGCCTACACAGGCTACTGTGAGCTAGTTAAGTCAGTTGTCAAGTCATCCAAGACTCATGTCTTGGAGGTTCACTAGGTATCTGTCAGCATTTGGGTATCCCAATTTTATCTTTCCACTGCAGAATACTTTGAAGGCGTTAGTACCCAACAACTAAAAGAACAGCACAAGCTGTCCCAGATTGTTTTAAGTCTGAATATGTAAGTTATTCTTACCTTTGATCTATCTTCTGTCCTTGGCTTCTCTGTGATACCTTTCTTTCACTTTTATATAATACACTGGGGACATTATTGTTAGTACTGGTTTGTGCAATAGCTAAACCACTTGATCCTCCCAAATTCTCTTGTCACATTCCTCTTAGGCTCCTTTTTTTTTGTAACACTTCAACTGGTTGGAATTTTAACCTGAAAAACAAGAATCTAAGGACAGGGAGATGGAGAGCACTTTTTTTTTTTAAATAAAAACAAACCAACATAAAAAAAATAGTTCTGGGACTGAAAACAACCACCACTGCCACCAAAAAAAAAAAAAAAAAAAAAAAGAGAAAATCTACATTTGAGGCTTAAAGTCAGGGCTGCAAGCCAATCTTTAAAGCTCAATCCCCACCTGTAAAATGGAGGAAAAAGTACTTCAAATTACAGTAATGTTAGTGACAGCAAAGGGCCCAGAAATTATGGTGCTGAAAGCCAAATAATTATCTCGGTACAGAGGCCAAAATTTCTAATATTTCAGACATTTTTAACATATTTTTTGAATTTTAGGCAGTGATTCAGAAGACATCGCAGCCTATGATTCTTATGATTCACAACGTGAGGAACTTGTGAATGGTGAGACTGAAAGTTACAAAACATTCAATACAAGATTACGTGGAGAGATAAAAGGTACAATGATTGCAAAAATATTAACATCTACATAAAAATATTCTTGTTTATAGTGTTTGTTTTTCTAAACAACACGTCTTTGTTTTCAGGACTTAGATGCAGATGTCCTAGAGGAAGCAGAGATCAATTTAAACTCAGGAATTACAAAGAGCCTGTTCAGTCTTGTGCTCTACATAGAAATAAACATTCTGGTTCAACCTGTAAGTATGATGTGTTACTGAAATAATTACCAGTCACAGGCTAGGTTTTAAGGGGCTGAAAGCCACACTGCACATATATCAGGCCAAATTTAATTCAGTATAAGCCATCAGTAGCACTGCAGGTAAACAGTGGATGTGTACAGATCTTGTAGAGCGAGATCAGCAAATGTAACTTTAACACACCTAGCCAAGCTTCATCCCCATGCATCAGAGCTTTAATAGTCTCTGGTTCTTTATGAGAGGAGTCCTTTCCATATTTCATTTATGACAGGAACATCTCATTTTGCAGAGCCACATGGAAGAATATTAAAATTGGGCATTGCTGTGCCAGCTTTTTTAGTCCTAGCTGTTACCTAATGCAGCACAAACAAGTATACTAAAGAA